AGAATTATAATTGCATCATCCTGATGTAATGAATATCTATCAAAAGGCACTGTCTGGAACTTTTTCGTTCTTTAAAGTCATAAAATGAAACTTATAGGGTTCTTATTGAAAGAGGTCTTTCATAGATTTTCAATATTGAACCTAGAAACATGTATGAAAATATATAAAAGGGTACATTATATTACTGATATACATATATTTAACCTCCAAAAGCAAAGTTTTTGAATTAAAACATAATTTTTTTGACCACTAAGCTTTCTTTTGAGTAAAAAAAAATACAACAGAAACATCCATTTTGAAAAAATATGGGAAAATTAAGTGCCAAATATTGAAAAAAATTAAAAGTTTAAAAATAATTTTCGCATCCCATTATAGGACTATAAAGCCCTTTAAGGAAATTTTATAAGCTTTCTTTTAAGCAAAAAAAACAAACAAAAATATTTAAACATTTTTTAAAAATAATTTTTTTTTTTTTGGAAATAATGAAGAAATAGTTATCTGAACTCCCTTGGAAAATGTTTACTAGGGCCAATAAATAATAAAACCCTGTATGACCAAAATGTCCAACTTTGATCCCCAACTGACTTTGGATGTTCTTGACCCATAGAGCTGATAATTTGTGTCCGGCCTACTATCCCATAGTACTAACCTTGGTGCAAATTTCATCCAAATCGGAAGACATCGATTTTTAAAGTTGGATCACTTGATACAAAATTCCCCATAAACATTTACAATAATATCAATTTTATTCCATTACGGTGAGGGTAGCGAAGCACACTGGGTATAGTTAGTCCAACTATATCAACCATATATAAATGTATACCAATCGAATTTGTTGCACATTTGGTTGTTGCAACTAAAACTATTTTTACAATTCTCCGAAAATTATCACTTCACTTCAAAATACAATTAAATTTTGAAAATTGCTTACACTCGATTGCGTGAATTAAGCACTCATTACCATATAACGATTTAAAAACACATTAGTAAAATCTAGTTACGTCAATCCAAACAGTAGAATAATTTAACACATCTGGAGTAATGTAGTCGTTCGTAATTTAGATTCTAAATTCATTTGTTCATTATAATAGTAAATATAAACTTGTATTACAATAAGTACTTAAGTCTCTAATAATAATGAATATAATGTTAATAATATAATAACGATTGATTGTTAAGCTGCTGCTGCCGTCACAACGTCACAATCACATTTGGAACCATCTGTAATCAGTCAGTCACTGTACGGGGGTGAAGTCAAATTAAATGTAGTTGTCTATTATTTTTTACATTTTACATTCAACGTGTTGATGGCATGAGCGATTAATTAAATTTAGACAGAAAAATTAAAGCAAAAAATAAATAAATATATATATTTTTGTAAAAATAAGACAAAATGCAGTTGTATTCGCGATTGTATTCTCGTATTAAAACAAATAATTGAAGGAGTATTTTTATACTGTTAATATGAATAAATGAATTTATTTAAACATATTTGTAGATATATATTTTTTTTTTAATTTTTGTTTGTTTTATTTTGCTCCAACTACTACTATTAATTAATTAATGAAAAAAAAATCCATGCACATGTCTAAGCTTGCTTTTTGTCGTGTGTTTTTTCGAGTGTTTTTTTTTTTTTGGTGTTCCAAGTTTAAAAAAAAAGCACTTAAGTGAGGTGGGTGGCTGGTTTGTTGGCTGCTTAGATTTTTCGTAGATAAGTTTAGGAATTTAAACGTGATTCTAATATTTAAATTTGCACTTTGCTTTCTATCTATTCTTATAAATTAACATTCACTCAAACATTCATGCATATAAATTAAGTTGGGTTAATGGTGTGATACTGAAAATTTAACAACTACCAAAATAATACTTTTAGCATTTTTCAATCTGCGAAAAAAAAAAAAAAATTTAAAATATTTTTGTATAATTTAAAATTTTAATGATAAAACGAAATTTATGTTGTTATAGTCTGGATTGTTTAAGACTATATTTCATGGCTTTAATTATTTATAGAAATTAAAAGAAAAGTTTATTATTACGAATTTTTCGATATTACAGAGGAATATGTATATATTTCTGAAATTTAGTAACTTGTTCAATTATTTATACACAATAGCAAACCCGTTTGTTTTTAATTGGCCATCACATTATAGGAAAATTCTTTTTTAAGTCGGACTACTGTATGTGGAACAAACGATCTACAGCAGTATTTCTTGTCCCTTGCGATGTAAAAAGGTTTAAATTAATGTAGCAATATAAGTACGACCTAATGTTTTTAGAGCGGGGTTTTGAGTTGGCAATCAAATAAATGCCAATTCATAATCAGATATGTTAATCAAAACATAAATTTAATCTGATGTTAATACTATGGTTCTATAGTTGAAACGAAAAGTCGACTTTTCGACTTTTTTCATTTAGTTAAAAGTCGACTTTTCGACTTTTTGCATTTTATGAAAAGTTGATTTTTCGACTTTTCGACTTTTTTCATTTAAATAAAAGTTGACTTTTAGACTTTTCGACTATAAGTATTTTATAAATAGTCGACTTTTCGACTTTTTCTGACTTTATTCGACTTTTTCGACTTTCTGACTATTTTCGACTTCTTTCTACTTTTTTTCCGACCATTTTTTTTTTATTTTTTTTTTAAGTTTTTCCGACTATTTTAGAGTTTTTGACTTTTTTTCCACTTTTTTAAAATTTTTGACTATTTTTGACTTGTTTCTACAATTTTCGATTTTTTGACTTTTTCCGACTTTTTTCGACTTTTTCCGACTTTTCGACTTTTTTCGACTTTTTACGACTTTTCGACTTTTTCGACTTTCTTCGACTTTTTTCGACTTTATTCGACTTTTTTCGACTTATCGACTTTTTTCGACTTTTTCGACTTTTCGACTTTCAGACTTTTCGACTTTTTTCGTCTTTTTTCACGAAGTCGACTTTTTTCACAGACGATAGTCGAGTTATCGACTTTTTTGGAACAAAATAGTCGACTTCGACTTTTCGACTTTTTTCGACAAAAAGTCGATTGTTCGATTATTCGAAAGTCGATTTTTAGAACCCTAGTTAATACCCTTTGATATTTTTCGCAGTGTTGCCATACAAAACAACAAAAAATGTCACTGTTTCTTATCAAAACAATGCATGTTTTATAAAAAAGAAGACAATTGAAATTTTAATATTAAAATTAATAAAAACTTAAATTTAAAACAAAAAAAAAAGTATTTTAAATGTGCATAATTTATACTAATCAATAAATAGAACATTTTATTATTTTTTTTGCATCAGCTGTTTACACTTTTGCATTTCTTGCTTAAATTTGAACCACCTCCATTGGGCGCTTAAACTTGCAAACAAAATTAACTGATTAAGTACTAGGGTTCTATAAATCGACTTTCGAATAATCGAACATTCGACTTTTTGTCGAAAAAAGTCGAAGTCGACTATTTTGTTCCAAATAAGTCGATAACTCGACTATGGTCTGTGAAAAAAGTCGAAAAGTCGGAAAAATTCGAAAACTCGAAAATTGTAGAAACAAGTCAAAAATAGTCGAAAATCTTAAAAAAAAAGTGGAAAAAAAGTCAAAAACTCTAAAATAGTCGGAAAAAACTCGAAAAAATCAAAAAATAGTCGAAAATAGTCAAAAAGTCGAAAAAATCGAAAAGTCGGAAAAAGTCGAAAAAAGTCGGAAAAAGTCGAAAAAATTCGAAAAGTCGAAAAGTTAGAAAAAGTCGACAATTTATAAAATACTTATAGTCTAAAAGTCGACTTTTAATTAAATGAAAAAAGTCGAAAAATCTACTATTCATAAAATGCAAAAAATCAAGAAGTCGAAAAGTCGACTTTTAACTAAATGAAAAAAGTCGAAAAGTCAAAAAGTCGACTTTTCGTTTCAACTATAGAACCCTATTGAGTACTCAAAAACAGGATTATTTTTATTTATTATTAACTTAATCGCTAATCTTTCACCTGAAGATTGGTCCTTAATGTTTTATTCTCTAATCTATTGTCTCATGAAATCTTCCAAAAGTTTTAAAACTTGTTCAACAAAGTTTCAAAAAAACATAATTTTGGAAAAAATCGTTTTTCCGTTTCTTTGATCTTTTCGAACTACTGAATGATATTATTAATTGACAATTCTTCAGGCCGTAGTTCGAGTGCCATTTGGGGATAATTTTTTTCCAAATTTTCTTGTAAATACAACTTAAATTTTCAGAGAAGTTGCGACACCTGTAATCGTTATTCCATCAGCCCATTTTTTACATGAATTAGTTTTACAACACAAAAGGCAATTCTAGAGGGTGTGGGGAATATCCGCAATTTAATTTTTTTGGCAAAATGGAAATTTTCTCTATTAAGAACTTTTTCTTTATAATTAACAAATGACCTGAAAAATTTCATCCACTCACTGTATTTGTATAGTCAGATAAAAACAATAGAAAAATATTTGCAAGTAATTGTTGTTAGTAAACAATATTTGAATTTATTTATGCGCGATAATAAAATCAAATATTCCAAAAACGTAAATAAATTTGCATATTGTTTCTTTTTTTTTTTTGGATTAATAAAATCAATCAATATCGATGAATACCAAGCAAAAATATGTATTTGAATAATAAAAATAACAATATAATTAAAACAATTTGGTATTGATATTCTGCAATTTATATTACTTAAATATTTTTTGTAAATCACAAATTTTAAGCTAATCACAACAATGAAATAAAAAAAAAAATTGAAAAAAAGTATTTTTTTTAAGTATGTATTTATATGTATGACATTAAATAAAAATTATCTCGTAATTATCAAAATGCTTATTTAATTACTAATTTATTATAACTGGTCTTCAAAATAATTCGACTTCTAACAACCTGTAAGGTTTAACGACCCCTATATTTGATTTCTTAACAATTCAAATATCAAGAAAAAAAATTAATTTTGTTTTGCACATTATTTGTTTATTTAATTACTTAATTAATTTATTTTCGTATTTTATTTAATTTCAGGATGAACCTTTAAATACGTATTTAAATTTGGGTGAATGCAAGGAATTAGAGGAATATTCCGTTAAATGTATAAAAGATGGTTGCTCATACAAGGCAGTGACGAAGAGTGGTGAAATTATTGGGGTCTTCCTAAATGCTCTCATGCATCGTCCGGTAAGTTTTATTATTTCGAAATCGCCTACATACTCCTAAATACTCCTCGAAAACTAATTCAAATATATAGAAAAAACATACTCCATTTAAGATTATGATGTCCTATGTGAGGACCACGTAATCTATTTATGGATTACATCAGCGTAATCCCAAAACTACTACATGATCCATGAGTACTCAAAAACAACTTTCGAGAATTAATTTTAATTTAATCGCTAATCTTTCACCTAAAGATTGGCCCTTAATGAATCATGTACTAAAACAATGTTTACAGGGGAGTAATTGTGGTATTACCGTAATGGATCACATACTCCAAAATTGTTCTAAGATAATTATAAGAGTTTAAGTCATTTTTATCTGGAGGAACTTGTATGATTACTATGTTCAAAAGTCATCCGATTTATGCCTTTACAGAAGACTTAAAAAATTCAGTAACTATTACTAACAAATGTACAATTTTTCCTTTTGTCGTAGGTGCCCAATGCTGAACATGAAAAATCTGCAGATTCCTGTGATCATCCAAAATTCAGAAAAGTTTTGCAATTAATGGATTTCATTGAAGGAGATTTCAATGTCTTTGATTTATATCCCGGCACCGATGTTATTATGGATGGTAAAATTCTCTCAGTTAATTCCAATTATCGTGGTTTGGGCATTGCTGGTCGTCTCACCGAAAGCACTTTGGACTACATGCGTGAACACAAAATTCCCGTTATGCATGTTTTATGCTCCAGTCATTATTCGGCTCGTGTTATGGAGAAATTGGGTTTCCATGAAGTCTATCGTCTCAATTATGCCGATTACAAGGTGGATAATGAAGTTGTCTTTGCACCCGGTGAGCCACATTTAACGGCCCGCATATTGGTCAAAGAAATTGCTGAGGTTAAGAAAAGTCAACTGTAAAATGTTGGTTTTTATTAGATGTTTGAGAAAACGAAAGGCACAGGGTACTTGTACTAAAAGCTTAAAACTAAATGGAGTTAAATGTAGGTACACATGATCATGTACTTATAATTACATTTGAAAATAAGAAAAAAATACAACAGATATACTAGAAAATAACCCACCCAATCATTTATTTAAGAATGGTTGTAAATGTTGTTAAACTTTAGATTTTAATGGTTAATTAATGATAAATACAAGTTTACCTTAACAAATAAATGTATAGAAATATTAATTCTGATGTGATTTTAGATTTGTTTAAGTTAAACTTTACATTGGTGTTGGTCATTAATATTAAATGCTTACTTTTACTTATAATTGTATATTTACTTAAATAACTATTCTTTTTTTTTATTTTACAATTCCTAATCCCATTACCCAAAAACAGCGTTTTAATGGCGTTCAACATGCATTTAACATTATTTAGGTGTTAATTCATTATTAAGATTCTTATGCAAACTATAAACAATTTTGTTCGCCACTGTTTGAATTACCAATGTACAATATGAATTTATTTTAATCCTTTATTTGTTCATAATGCTAATAATGAAAAAAAGAAAGAGATTGTAATTATTTATATTTATGTATGTTAACGATTTTATTATGTTCTAAATAATAAAAGTTATTATCTGTTACAACTTAATATGTATCACTATTTTTCATTATCCAATTAATTTGTTACTACATTATCATGTACTGTTTATAACAAAAGTATAAAACCCTAAAAGTACACTTTAAAATAAATGATAATTTGTCTAAGGCACGGCAGCAATTTTGGAAAAGTGCTAAATGGTTGATAAATAAATGTTGATGATAATGTTGAATATTAAATTATTTATTATTATACAAAATTAATTATGTTTAAATAATATTGTGTATGATATTTTGCTCATTTATGAAGCAGCAATTTTAATTGCTGCAATAACTATTTATTTTGTACATGCATAACTATATATTGTTAATATTTAAGTTATTTTTAAATATTTTTATTATATTATGATTGTTTTAATAAATAAAATGCCAAAATATCCTAAATGAATTAAATTGTTTTTACTAATTTATTCGTCAAATAGCTATCTGTATAGTTGCGGTCAGTTTAATTGTGGTTAGAACTAATTAAGTGATTCGGAAAGTAATTGCGGTTTTTTTCAGTTCCGCAATTACTAAGTAGTCTGTGTGTCCCTTTTATACCGTACCCCAGCAAAAAATAATGACGACATACATACATACCTAATTTTAATCCAAAAAATTCCTTATAAATAACAAACAAGGGTGTTATATTCGGCTATGCCGAATCTTGTATAGCCACCATAAAATCATGTCCGCACTATGGGCCAGAAATCAATTTTTTGGCCAAAAGTCCAATTCAGGTAGAGCGAGAAAAAAGTTTTGACTTATTAATCTGGAAAATTTAGAGATTATACTGGTAAATTTTTTTATCATTGTGAGTTAATGTGTTCAAACGGAAAATACTGTTTTCGAAAATAATATATATTTTTCACAAATGTCCAAAACATATAATATAAAACAAGTAAGAAATTATAGTCGGACGAGGCCGACCATATAATACTCTACACAAGTTATAATTATAAAATGTGGTTTAGTTTTCATAATAAAGCATTTAAGTGCCTCAGATACACTTAAGCCATTTATTGTTGAATAATATTGTGGATACTTAAGTCAAAATTTGAAGGGGGTTTTGTATAGGGGCTAGGGTCAAATGAGGCCCTATCATTATAAAATTCACCAGGGTCATCAAGGCTAGTTTAGAACTTGATAATTATGAGCTTAAGACCCATATTCGGGGTGTTCAGTTGTATGGCGGCTAGCTGAAATAATGGACCAATGTTAACCATTTTCAATCATGTGTCAAATTTCATTGAATTATCTTCAAAATTGCAACCTGTAGTTTAAATTCAAGGTTTACAAGCCCTATTCGGGGGTTCAGTTGTAATAGAAGATCATGTATCAAATTGAATTGAATTATCTTTGATTACAAGGTTTACATGGGTTTAAGTCGATTGGTATACTTTAATCTGTTTTAATCAGTACTTAAAATTTACTTTATATTTCTGATTAGCGACCGCCATTAACCCACAAAATATATTTATTTAAAATTGCAACATTTAGTAAATCAAAATTTTAAGTTTTTAAAATTATTGATCTTAAATATTGCTAAAAAACAAATATTTAATTTTTGGTTATGTTTGATGCGCCATCTTGAGTTTAGTTCATTGAATTTTGAAAATCTGCATTCGAATTTGTAATCAGTGACCATGGATTTACAACACATGTTCATTAAAAATTCTATTTAGTCAATTTTAAAAATGTTGTCCGATATTTTGAATCCGCCATTTTTAATTTTTTCTAACAAAATTAGCGTCCCCGAAAATCTTATATGTATGCGATATTTATTTACTAAGTAGATACACTGCTTAACAATTATTTTGGGTATGTTTGATCCGCCATAATGTATTTATTATATTCAATTTAAAAAATCTGAATTCGCATTTATTATCAATGATAAAAAGGTCTACAATACGTGTTCATTAGATATTCCAGTAAGTCAATTTTTAAAAATGTTGACCGCCATTTTGAATTCTCTATTTTAAATTTTTAATATTTTCTTCCACAATCTTTAAAAATTCCATTAAGTACATTTTAGGAATTTTTAACCGCCATTTTGAATTTTTTCTTGCGAAACCTTATATGTAATATTTATTTATTATGTGGATCCACTGCCCTAATTATGGCCAAAAAAATGAATTTCTTGCCCAGAGTAGTCCGGTAAAACATTGTTTTTGTAGAATTTCATTGCTATACTGGTATTTTTAATCCAGTTATGACTGTTTTTTATGTATTATGGGCGGGAGTATAGGTAAAATCGTTGACCGATAGCCCTTTTCAATACCAAACAACCTGCACGAATAAAAAAATATTTGTGAAAAATGTTAGTCTTCTAGATCCTTTTAAGATACAGACGGATATGGTTAGATTGTCCGGGATATATAGTGCTATATATATATATATATATATTAAACCGATGACCGATTTTCTATTTTCACCTATTTACCCAACATACCTGGGTATGTATACAAATTATTAGAGTCCGACCGAACTCAAAATTTCGTTCGGTACCGAACACCGAACCCGAACTTCGCTAAATTTGCAAGTTCGACCGAACCCGAACTTTGTTCGGTTTTCAAAGTTCGGTGAACACGAACTTTTTTTAAATGAAAAATAATACTTTTTTATTTTTGGTTTTTAAACGATTTATTGACAATGATATAATTATCTGTAAGAGCACGCTGAGAAAAACATGGTTGTGATAACCATGTTCTAAGAGCAACATATTATGATTAAAATTATGATTGTAGTCTAAACATATTATCGTTATAGTAACAATTTTAAAATATCATATGATTAAATACCGTCAAAATATTTCATCATGAAATTTTTGTATTTTATTTATCAAAATTTCGTTTTAAATATGTATCGAAATCAAATTGAATTGTATCGAATCAGTAAAATAAGTTTTTAAAAAAAATAAAAAATATATATACAATACTTAACACAATTCTCAAATTTCAATTTGCCAATTTATATGAAATTTTGGTTCATAAAAAATTTAAGTATAATTTCATAAAAATACTAGCAATTTTAAGCATGTTATCAACGTTAGTAATTTTCTAAAGCGAACATTATATGGAGGCCATGTCCAAATGTAAACCGATTTTGTCCATTTTGAATACCAATCAAACTGCAATAGTTTAGGTCCTATCGTTCTTTCAAGAGACTGACAGACTGACTGACTGACAAACATGTCTAGATCGTTTGAAAATAAGAACCTAGAAAATTTCGATGTTACAAATGAAATCAAAGATTTATAATCGAGACTAGATAATTCAAATTAAATGTTTCACTTTTCTTAGCTTTTTAATCAGTTTCTGGTTAACAGTTTTTCAAATCAGCCGAAAAAACGAACGGTTAAAAAGGCGTTTTGTACCTATGTATATACGAAATTTATTGTACAGCCAGGATGTATGATAACTTCTGTAAACAGATTTTCAGCATTTTTAAAACTTTTTGATGATATTAAAATATGATAAAAAAAAACATTTTATAAAAAGTTCGGCGTTCGGTCAAAATTTCGCCGAACACCGAACATTGATCGAACCTCACTTTTTACCGAACTCCGAACCCGAATGTTCGGTCGGACACTACAAATTATGTCAGTTATCGGACAAAAATTAAGTTTCATAATAAATTTTATGTTTTATTATTTGCATTATATATATTCTTGTATCTTATGAAAAAAAAATTAACTAAACAACAAATTTAGTTCCAAATACAGAGTCATGTGTCTTTATTCATTAATTTGAATGTGATATATTTGTGGACCCTGTAACATTAACAAATATGGGCCGAATTTGATGAATTAATTTTTTTTTATTGTATATGACTTAGTAAAGTAAAATTATGCTGATTATAATAATTTTATTCTCATATAAACAAAAATATTTATTTTCATTAATGCTAATCGATTTTATACACCTTAACAAATAATATATAAAAAGTTTTGTTCAATTACCTTTCCCGGTCACCGAGTAAAAGCTTCTTGAAGTCAAAATTTTACAAAGTCAAATTCTGCATAATGTACATTATACGTTATGAAGGCGTTTTTCTTTAGGTTTTTTGCAGATGATATTTTTGTTAATAGGAAAGCAATAAGAAACTTTAAAAGAAATTGCTAAAATTTAATGGTTTATGATCAAAAACTATTTAATTTATATTTACAGACGTTTTATTAAATTAGTTTTAATAATTATCTGAATTATATACTAGAAATGTATAAAAAGATGAAATAGCCATATAAATTGTATGACATACCCGGGTATGTTGGGTATTAATGTACGTAATTTTGCTCGGGTATAGACAAGACGGTTAAAAAATAAAGGCGGTTTAAGTTCTTTTCTGGAAGAACAAATTACAAAACTAATTGCACTTTTGTTAGGAAAGGAATTCCTAATAATAAACAAATTTATGTAAATTATCACTCTTTAAAAACAGAAAAGTTTTTTTAATAAAAAAAAAGTAAAATAAGAAGTTAATACAATTTTAATTGTAATAATAAATCACAAAAGCGGTTAAAAATTAAATTAAAATATTTTGTTATTATTGGTTGTTAAAAAAATAAGATTTCCAAAAATATATCCACTTGACTATGAAAAATTGTCACTACAGATTTTATATGTAAATATTCATAGAAGTTCAATTACTCTATCAAGTATTCGAGATTGGAATATAGAATTCTATCTCTCAACTTGATTGGCGGCTATACGATCAATAACACGACGAAGTTGTTCATCCTTACTGTATTTCTCCACATCAGAACGAATTTTCTGATGATGTTCATTCGCTTTGGCCGACACTTCGTCCAAACTTTTTTGATTCCTAGCGAAAGACTGCCTAAAAGTATGCCACAAATATTAAGAAAAAGTAAATTATTTACTATATACCTACTATATACATTGTACATATAATTTTGTTAATTTGTATGCATGAACTTACCTAACGGAAGCTATACCAAATACTCCACCAAATATTCCCAAAACTATAAGCACTAAAGCTACTCTGGAATTTGTTGTCCTGTTTAGACCTTTAATACCATAATACGGGCCAGGATTTGGGTCATAGTCTGGTTTAATTTCCCAGGGCCTAGAAATAGTTATTGTAGATAAGTAAAAGTCTAATATAATAATTATCTGATCTTAAACACACCTATGAAATTCAGTTTTTGCAGAACTGCTTGTCTCATAAACTCTCATAGATTGAACAGCTTGCAAGTTTTGATCATATTCAACACGTAACTTCGGTTTGCTGAGTGTTTGATATGCCTCTGCGATTTTCAAAAATTGTGCTGTTTGCTGAGGATCTGTTTTCACTCCTTTAACATCAGGATGAAACTAAAAATGATTCAAAACTGTTGAATAATGCTTAAATATATGTTATTAGTTCCCTATGACTTACCTTTTTCGAGAGCTGTACATAGGCAGTTTTTATCTCTTTATCGGTGCAATCACTGCGAACATTTAAAATGTCGTAGTAGTTTTCAGTTCCGCTGGTCTTAGCCATCAGATTTGTACAATTAATTTAGAAATTTGAATTCCCTTTTCGTTACTGGGAAATGTGAAAACACCGAAAAAGATTTAACAAAATGAATTGAATACATAATAATAAACAAAATTACTACGTACTTGGAAGAGCCCTGCGCCGACAAATATTAACGGCGGCAGCGACTGTCACTAAATATGTCGGCGGCGGCTTAAAATCGACTGTAAGCCGGCTAAGTTTTCAAATACGTTTAGTTTTTAAATTTTCAACGATTTTAAATAAAAACGGAATCCGAGAGATCAGAAAGTGGGATTTTGGAAGCAAATATATTGTTTATAACAACAAAACAGAGCAAGCTCAAAAGTTGTGTGAGAAATTATGCAGGGATGAATAAAAAATTCTTAAAAATTAGAAACAAATCCTTTCTCCAAGTTTTACGAGTATCTGCCGATATTTAACCCTATCCACCATATAAAACATCTTGCAGAAAATCAGTTTCTAAAAAATTTTGCATTAAGAAAATTATCAATAACGTAAAAATAAAGATATTTTATTTGTGCTACCATAAAAGCAATATAAATAGCTTAACGATTTTGATGATTCTAACTACAATGGTTTTCCAGATATACAATTTGTTACATATGGGAGATTCCACGCAAATTATTGCAATTTCTCTAAATGTTCTTCAGTAAAATTTGAAGATTCTAGCTCTAATAGTTTCTCAGATATACGAATATTTCTATTTAATTCATATGGGAGTTCCAAGCCCCCCACATGAAAGTCCGCCCTTTTTCTTCCAAAATGTTCAGATGAATATTAAAGTTCTTCGTGCAAAATTTGAAGAATTTAGTTCTATTAGTTTCGCAGAAAAACTAATTTTTGTATTTAATTCATATGGGAGGTTCCGCTCCCCTCATTGGTAGTCCCCCAATTTATTACCCAAAATGTTTACATGGATGTTAAAGTTCTCCAGAACAACATCATTTAAAGGGATCACAAAGAGATTGAAAAATATTCCAAAAGTTTCACTTTGAAAACATTATTAGAGTGTATGAAAACTCGCAACTCTAAAGGCAGACTATTCCTATTTTAGCGGTAATTTCTAGAAAGAGCTTTGAAATACCTTTTCAAAGATATATAATATGACATTTATTAACCCTTTGAGTACAAATTTCACAAAAAGAATTTTTTATATAGAGTTTTTTGATGAAAGTGTCGTTATTTCATAAATCCATCGATATAATGGTACCGATAAATATCGAAAAATTGTAGAAAAGATTTCAAGCTTTCATTTGATGCATAGATATGTGCTAATATCTTAATAAATGGGGATGATATTGAAGTTTAAAAATAGTAAAGAGAGACTGTGACAAAAAAATTCTTAAATAATTTTTCGCCTACGGCGCTACCATCCAATTTTCGAATGTTTACCCACAAAATTTTGTATTTGTTTTTGGGGTTTACAAATACAACATTTCATTACCCAAAAAATTTAAAAAAATTGTTCGGGTCCGGCGCTACATACCCATTTCCGAATATTTACTCAGAAAAATCGCAATTTACTCAATATACATAAATCGGCACCTTCTTATGAATGAATTTTTGATATAACAGAACTTTTATTAACAAAGGTTAATATAAAAAGCACAGTTTGTATTAATCCTTCTCAATAGGCTAATAAATTATCTTCTATTATATATCGTTGGAAAGGTATTTTGATGTAATTTTCAATACTTTATGTATATTAAAAAAAAAAAACATTAATTTTAGGTACTTTACCTTATTCCAACTACAATATCGTCTGTACTTATTAAGATATTAGTATATATCCATACATCAGATGAAAGCTTGAAATCTCTTCTGCAATTTTTCCAATATATATCAGTAACGTTATATCGATGGATTTACGAAATAACGGCATTTTTGTCAAAAAACTCTATATAAAAAATACTTTTTATGGAATTGGTCCTCAAAGGGTTAATAAAAAGGATCATATTATATATCGTTGAAAAGGTATTTCAGAGCTCTTTCTAATGATATATATATTGTCCTAATGTTTCTAATGATATATATATGGGTTCTTAAATAGGGAAGATATTGATAATATATATATTTAACTTCGAAGGTCTATAACTCCATAACTATACATTTGTTGATCAAAAGACATATATCATAAATCATAGAATTAAAAGGCCTATAAGTGGTAAAATTTTTGTCAAAATTGGAGAGTTATACCCAATGTATATTAGTTCCACAATTTTTGCTAGGACCAATAGGTGAAAAGTTACATTCATTTGAATAAAACCCTGTATGACCAAAATGTCCAACTTTGACCCAATCTAAGTCCGACAGTTCTTAACCGATAGAGCTGAAAATGTGTCTGGCCTACTATCCAATAGTACTAACCTTGGTGCAAATTTCATACAAATCAGAATACATCGATTTAAAAAGTTGTTTCACTTGACACGAAAACGCCCATACATATATGAAATTCGATATAAACAAGTGCTATCGTAACGAAAATAATTTTGCAAAATTTTATGAAAATCGGTCAATAATTGGCCCGGCCTCCCATAGATGCCCAGCAGAAAATGATTTTAACGCTCATTGTTTAGGTTTCAACGATCTTTACGGACTAAATAATAACAGTATAGCGATGAAATTCGGCATGAACAAGTTTTGTGGGATCAAAGCATAATTCACCCTTTAGAAAATAGCTTTAAAGCGCAAAGTTGGCTTTAAAATGTCGTTGTAATGATGAAAATCGAGTTTTTTTAGGAACCGAAACCTACATTTATGAAGCAAAATTTTATAAGTAGAGTTCCCCCCTATAAACTCTCTTACAAAGAATATAAAGAAATTGGGGCTCGTCAGTTGGTACGTAAAGGAGTTGTCATTCGGTACCTAACTCTAAGTATGTATTGGTAGAATTTTTGTATTAGTATTGGGGCTCCAACCACTTTCATTTTATTTTTCGGACTTAAAATCTCTTTTTTTTTTTGCAAAAAAATAAGTTTATTTTAAATAATTTTTTCATTTTCAATACCAAAATATACAACTTTGTTTTGTCAATTTTAATTTCAACACACAAAAATTAATTGTCAAAAAAATTAAAAAAATATTTTTTTAGTTTGTGAAAAATAAAAATATTTCGGATTGTTAAATGCGATAAAATTGTATAAAAAATTAAAAAATAGTTATGTGTTTGTGAAAAAACGTCTTTCAAGTCCTATTATCCCGGTATTTTCGCGAAAAAGTTTTGAAGTATTGTGAGAGAATTGAGTTCTCACAAGTGTGTTGAATTTACACAGAACTCGTCTGTGAAGAGAAGGAAATGTTATTGTTGTAAAACAATGTCATAGTCCAACTTCTTATTATTCTTTGCTCTCTTACATAAAATCTGTTTATTGCTAATAAATCATTCCATTATGATAGAATTATTGCAGAATTCAAAAAAAAATATATATATTTCATTTAAATTCGGGAGAACTTGGTTCATAATTAAACTTATCCTAGTTAATTGAACTTATATAGTTTAATTTAATATTATATTCAATTTACTTTCCACTAGGTTTGTTTAATCGGTTTTAATGCGAGTAAAAATATATGAATTCGATTTAGAAAATATCAAAAAATGTGAACTCGTTATCGTTATAATTTGTAAAATTGTAAAATATACATACATACATAAATATACATATAGGTTAGCACACAAGATATATGGTAACTATAACATCAAACATTTCTTTTAGTTCGTAACTTTTTTAATAAATTCTTTTTTATGCGCAACACATGTCCTTCGAGGATCACGACACATTTCATTTTGTTCCACTAATTTGTTTCATATAGGTTTTTTTCTTTCCAAAGTAAATTTACCCCCAAAAATATCTGGATATACATTTAGCACAAAATAAAAAAAAAACAAGTAATAGTGTTATATTCGGCCATGCCGAATCTTATATACCCACCATCAAACCTCGTTTGACTCGAATGAAACTTACTTTGTCGAATTTCATCTATATACTCGTATTTTTAGGCCAGTTATGAGCGTTAAAGTAATTTTCTGAAGGGGACCTTATATAGGGGGGTAGGGTCAATTATGGGTCGATCCTCATAAAATCAGAAATTGGTTCGTATTAAATTTATTTGTGTCGAATTTCATCGCTACTCTCGTATTTTTAAGCCATTAATGAGCGTTGCAGTCATTTTCTGAGGGGGACCTTATATGGGGGGTAGGGTCAATCATGGACCGATCAACATAACATTTTTTAGATAGATTTTGACTCGTGTGAAACTTACTTATGTCGAATTTCATCTATATACTAGTATTTTTAAGCTAGTAATGAGCGTTAAAGTCATTTTCTGAAGGGGACCATATATGGGGGGTAGGGTCAATTATGACCCGATCCTCATAGCATAGTGATTTTGGATCACAAGAAACTTTAAACAAGTTATGGCTGTTAAAGCTACTTTTCGAGGGGCCACTTGTATGGGGGCTATCCGAAAACGTGGACCGATATTGCCCATTTTCAATACCAAACAAACCTTACTTATAAGAAATATTTATGTGAAATTTCAACACTAGCTCTTTCCATTCGGACTCTATCGTGCTTTCAACAGCCGGACAGACATGGCCAGATCGTCTTAGAATTTAATGAGGACCCAGAATATATATACTTTTGTGGGTCTATGACCAATATTTCGATGTGTTACAAACGGAATAACAAAATCAATATACCCCCCATATTTTTTGATGGTGGGTATAAAAATATTAAAAAATTAAAAATAAAAAAGACAACCAGCTAAATATATTTAATTTCACTTAAAATTACATATTTTGCAGAATTTTTGCACACCTTGATAATATCATTCCTTCTTCTGGACATAATCTTCACCAGAACCCACTAGAAATTTCCTGACTTAAATTTTAACTTTCAGGCCTTAAATTGGCAAAATTCTTGGAGATTTCTGCTTTTGTTGCTCCATATCATTTTGAATGTCCTCTATTGGATTGGGATCGATAAATTATACTGGGCACTGCAAACATGTCAATCAATCAATAAAAAATAATTTGTTAAAAAAGTTAAGAACTATAGGAAATATTAATTACTTACCAAATAATAAATTTTTTCATATTTAAATTTATGCTTCATATTTAAATTTATGAA